TCTTAAGCAACAACTTTGCTGATTTATAATGAAATGCCATGACTTTATATTTGTATACTAATACTAGAAGCCCTGTGAAGCCGATCAATAACTTAATAATATTTTCATTAAGTATACTTTCGATACTATCAGTTCATTTTAAATAAAGACTTTATTCACCCTATTTTATTCAAGTTGAATTTTCCCATAATGATATAATTAGGCCTCAGGTTACCATCGAATTTCACATGTTCTCATCCTGAATAAATTCAGCTGTCAATCTTAAACTTAGCCTTAAATAAAATCGGATGAATGGAGTTCTTATTTAATCAATAATTGTCATAATATGGCAGTACACTTTAAGCAATGAGCAAAAATATGAAGTAACTCTGTGAACTAGATAGGAGTAGGCAGAGAAAATATTAGTTTAATGGCAAAAGATAGAACAGGGCTTCCATTTTTAGCATAGGACTAGGCTGGGGTCGTTAATTGTGCTTTTCTTCCTTATATCCCCGTTTTATAGTTAAAAATGGCTTTCACATTAAGATATCCCACCTTTTTTATATTTAACTATATATCTTCTCTTTATCTTTCAATGAGGTATTTTATAAATTGTTCTTTATAGATGACCTTACGCCCTCCCCTACTGGAGCCTCATCTAATTTGCCCCTACCCCATGGCCGACTCTCCGCCTCTGGAACAACATTAGCCAATGAATCTTTATCCAGTAGTGGTAGCTTCTATTCCAGCTCCATGGCTTACTCGGGAGCTCGCCGCTTAGCTGCTTTTTTATCAGATGAAGAAGATAGCGCTGATTCGACTACTGATTCGGATGATTTTGATCATACCCCAGATCTGGCCTCTATACCTGGCGGGCATATTGGTATTTCGCCTGGCTCATTTTCGGGCCTGGCTCCTCCAGTTCTCAGTGGAAATTTAGGTAGCTTGACTCCAAGTGTGATTGGCACAAATGGCTCCTCATCCAATCTATTTAGTCAGGCCATTGGGACCACAATTTCTACTGGTTGCGAAGTCGGTGAAGATGATACTGAAGGGTTAGAAGACTTTTTAACGTCTTATTTTCATTTTTATTTATCTCTTGTAAGCGCTTATTTACTATTTATTTCCTTAGATTCAGCGTATCATAAAAGTGTTAGACTTTCATATGCTTATGTTCACTCTGCGTCGTAATTGCTTTCACATGGGTATATAAACAATAACCTTAGGTTGTACGAGGTTGTACGAGATCTTAGATTTCGCAACTTAGTCGAGGTTATAGCTAGACCTAGTAGGACATACCCAGCCTTTTTACTTTCATAATTGTAGTGTTAATTTCCAGCACCTGATCGTTTGCATGGTACCATACGCTTACTCGACATTGTCAGTGATAAGAACTGTCCTTAGCACCGAACAACATCTCGCCAGATAGGCCAATAAAGACCCCTCTCCGTCTTGCTTCTTCTTCTGTATATCACCTCTCTATTATGTTTTATATCACTAATTAACCTATCTCTATCTCTGTTTCTTTGTTTTCTATCTTTTAATGAAGCCTAATTACCTTCATTACTGATTCCGAATGCCATTAAGAGGGCTTCCTAATAAGAATTTATACTTTTATCAGCAATACACTTCATTCAACTTCATTCAACT